CTTTACAAATCAGGAAACTGAGGCTTAGTGGTTTGCCTGAGTTCATCCAACTGGTATGTATAGGAGCCAGAATCTGAAGCCAAGTCTATTTTATTTCAGAGCCCATGTTCCTCTCGTCCGTCTAGTTTAAAAAGAGTCAACAAAGCAATTTCATATACAGCGTTCTATGCGATCTTTTATCCAACCCAGTGAGAGCTCTCATTTTTTTTTTAAGATTGTATTTATTTATTTAAGAGAGAGAGCCTGTGCCAGTGCATGAGCAGAGGGGAGAGGCAGGAGCAGGCTCCCTGCTGAGCAGGGAGCCCCATGTGTGTGGGAGGGATTGGGGGGGACTGGATCCCAGGACCCCGGGATCATAACCAGATCTGCAGGCAGCCACTTAACCCACTGAGCCACCTAGGTGCCTCCAGAGGGCTCTCATTTTTTAACTAAAGGTAATGATTCTCAGCTTGAGAGATTCAGTGGAAAAAAAAAAATCACTAATTAATTGCATCATTTGGGGGGGGTGTGTCCTGTTGTCTGCTTGCCTTATTTGATGCAGTTTTTTCATGAACAAATGCTTAAAGATAAAACTTATTCGTAGAACACAAATTTTAGTTTAATTACAGTAGAGGAACTTAGCTATTTTAAGGAACTCTGTATTGAGCAATTTTTAAAGCAAATAAAATAGTTTGTCATGCAAATGATCACATTCTAATTTCCTTGCATAAACACCAGTTTCTCATTCTTCATTTGCTTGAAATGTTTAGTCCTTAGTGGCTGAGGGAAGATGGGGGAGTCTGTACATTGCTCCTTTTCTTTAGCTTTGCTAAATTGTCCCAAATGTTTAAAGGCACCCTGGATTATCATAGAATAATCCACAAAGAAGACAATAGTAAAACAGAGAGGCAATATTTAAAATTTCTTTAAATGTGTTACTAGAAGTCAAAAGGAGTCAAATGTGAGCAGGAAATTCAGCTCAAATTAGAGAATCGCAAGGAAATCTTTTTCGTTGGTAAACTGATCGTTATTTCCACCAAACATTTGTTGACGACTTGCTGGGTGACAGGGGCTGCTTGAGATAGGTACTTACTGGGGATAAAATAATGTTTAAGAACAAGATCCCTCCCAGCCAGAACCATCGGTCGGGCATTTAAGCGAGCTCTGTGACCTGTGTGTGAGGCAGCCAACTGGTTTAAAAGCTACAGCCTCTGAGGCCTGGTGCTCAGCAGACAGGGGAGCCCTGCTCTACATGGAGGCAAGGAGAAAAGTAAAGTGGTAAAGAACGAGAGAGGAAACGCTGGAAAATGATGATGAGGAAGAAACTGCGTCACTTTGTGGGGAACGCAGGCTCTCTGTAGGAGAAGAGAGGACAAGTCAATATTGGACTGTACGTCACAGAATGGTTGTGGACAGCATTTGTAAATGTTTTACACATTTAAAATAAAAAATTTTTTCAAACCACTTTCCCATGTATCATATCAGCCTTGATGGTAATAGCGAGGACGGCTTTATTTTTATCTTCAGTACACAGACAAGCAAACTGAAGCCAGGCTAGCTTAATGATTTGCCCAAGGTCATAGAGTGTGTTCAGAGCTGGGTTTGAACTTCAGTCTTCCAACTCCAAATTCTGAGCTCTTCCCACCATTCAGGCAGGACAGCACCCAAGGAGATGAGAGGGGCAGATTGGTCTGCAAACTAGGTTGGCACAGACCATCTCAGATGGGAGCGTGCACGGGGAAGGGAGAAGCACGGGAGACACAGGCTGACACCGTCAGGGGAGATATGTACGTGGTCCCAATAGTCGAGGACGACGGGTGGCTTCTCAGTGAAACATGATATGCGTGTGCACTTCATACCACAGCAGAGGTCAGCGGGAGCTGTTGCTTTATTCTTTGCTTGCTTTGGTCTGTTTAAACTACGGATTAACAGATGCCTCACTCAGATCCAGCCCTTAAACGAAACAGTGGCAAAGTGATTCTCTGAGCTATAGTCAATATGAAGATGACCATCGAGGCCTCGGAGCTCACTGGAAAAGAAAAAGTAGGGATGAATGAGGTTATCTCTCTATGTCATGTTAACAATGGATTTGGCATTTTCCTTGGAATTAGAAGACTGGGTGTGTGAGGCCAACACAATGACAAGAAAGCAAGGGCAGCTGACCACAAAGCTGTAGCATCATTTGCAAAAAATATATACATATTCATACTCTCATATTTATGATTTGAATTAAATTTGAGATTTAATTTGGTCCAAGAAAGTCTTATAACGTGGTTAAAACTTTTATTTTCAATCTGGAGGTCAAATGAATCTGTGCTCCTAAGTAGAATAAAGACAGAAGAACTGTTTTATATGGAAGAACTTGCACCAAATGACATCATTGGAAATCTGAAAGATAAAATCATTTTAGAGTTTTCCCAGAGTTAAAGGAGTATCCAACTTACATGGACACCCTCATTGCCGTGATGGGTAATTTCAGTTTTGAGTTTTTGTTTTTTTCGACTTTTTTTTAAGATTTATTTATTTGAGAGAGAGAGAGAAAGAGAGTGCACGTGTGAGTGCAGAAGGGGAGGGGCAGAGGGAGAGAGAATCTCAAATAGACTCTGCACGGAGCATGGAGGCTTGATCTCACAATCCTGAGATCACGACCTGAGCCAAAACCAAGGGTTGGATAGGATGCTCAACCAACTGCACCAGCCAGGCACCCCTCAGTTTTGAGTTTTTAATGAGAGATTGTTTTAGTTATATATGCTTTATGCATTCCTGGGGACGCTTAAGTTATGGTGTTGCTAACCCACGGCAAAGCCCGCTATAAGAAATCCAAGGTGCTGTCATGCATGTAGTTACTACACGGTTTGGATCTGAAGGCCTGGCAGAGTAACTCAGGTATTGCAAGTATTGCTTACATCTGGGCACTTTGCCCTTGGTTCTGTGCTCGGGGCATTTCTGCTTTTGCAGCACAGACCTCATAAACTGGCCAGTGACTCCAGGAGGCGAGAAACAAGAGAAGTGACTCAAGGGGGACTTACAAGGATATAAAATCAATCCAGAAATCTGCATGGTGACCCCCAAGGCACAGTAAAGTTATCTCCTGACCAGCAACAGCAACCATGTCTATGTTTTATTTTAGGGATGTCTTGCCTTTTTAGGGCTGCTTTGGTTTTCATTATAACCAAACATCAATTTTGAAAAAAAAAAATTAGGTTAGGGATTTGGGAAAACAAAAATATCCCATGGTGTAATTTTTCTCTGAAGTCTTACTGTCTTGTAGGGTCTTATCAGAGGTAGAAAAAAAATGGATCTGGCATACAATTATTTGGTCTCTTTGTAACATAAGGTGCACATGTGGTATTGTTCATGTCTACAAATCTCTTAAATAAACCACGAAAGAGAGTTTGGAGAAAAACTGACTTGGAGTGCTGGGTTCACAAAATTTCTTCTAATCATCATTTTAGGGCTAAAATCTTTAATAAAGTAAGGCAATGAGATTTGAGTAAATTGAAGCTGACCAAGAGTACTGCATATATTGAAAATAAAAGTGCTTATAAAGTGGGATACCTTTAAGAAAATATTACTTTATCTTTTGAACCAATTTTGATTTTCAAACTGTGTTATTATCTAAGAGATTATGCAGCCATGTATATATTATTTATGTCTTTATATGAAAGAAGCAAATTAAAACTAATAGCAGTGATTCATATTTTTAAATCATAGGGATATATCCTGGAAGTAGTAGAAAATCAGCTCAATTTTCTAGATCTTTTATTTCCTCCTCCCCTTTTTTGGCAAAAATCATGAGCAAAGAAACTCAGCGTTCACGTTTTGACAGCTCACAATCCTATCATAAATCCATTCCCTGCCCCCCCCATTTCCCTGCTACCATCCTAGTCCAGCAATTTTTTATTTAGTTGCCCTGATCACATCTTTGCTTTCCTACAGGTTGTTTTTTTACAAAACAGCCAGAATTATGTTTTTGTAATGTATGTCAGACCGTGTCATGTGCTGCTGGATTTTGATTACACTTAGAATAAAAGCCAAAATCCTTTCTACTGCCCCTGGAGATCTGGCTCTTTATACTTCTCATCGTCATCTACTTACACTCCCTGTGCCCACCACCCCCTTCTGTGCTCCATTTACCTCGGAGTTCTTAACTAACTGGCTTGACCCAAAAGGTGGCCCTGCACTTGGTATTTCCTCTTCCTGGATTGCTTTTCCACAAATCTTACCAGCAGTGCTTTCTCCTTGTCATTAGTGACTCATCTTAAAAATTACCTTCGTAAAGATCACCCAGCCCAAGGCAGCTCCTTGTCTTCTACTAGGGTATCACTCCACTTTGTTTTCATTTATCTGTTTAAGTAACAAATATTTACTGAGCACCCAGTTTGTAAAAATAAAGTTCCTGCCCTTAAGGGAGATGTCATTCCAGTACAGGGGGTTAGTCAATAATCATCACTACCAGGTACACTCACCCTGACCCAGTGGCATAAAAAGAGCGGAAGATCTGACGCCATTATTTCTGCTGGAATTAGTGAAGAGAACTTTCAGGGAGCCCATTCTTTCTCACACTTTTACTGTTTATTTCTGCAAAGGTACCTCCACAACAGGAGAGCTGTCGACGTGCGGTACACGGAACACAGCCACAAGACTCTAGCATCCCCCCAAATTTACTATGCACATTCTTTAGCAACTCACATTGTCTACTTTTTGCATTAATCTTGTCATTTGTAAAATGAGATAGTCCTATCCCTTTCACAAGGTCCTTGAGAGAATGAGTTATAAAAGTACTTGATAAATAGAGCACTAGTAAAATGGCCTATTTAGGTGAGTATCGAATGTTGTCTGTAGATTTCTCTCAATTTGCGGACACTTTTCTCATCTCCTCCCAAGGGAGCTTCTTAAATATGTGCCTCTGTTTTCTTGTCCATTGGGTAAATAATACTGAATAATATTTAGCTTGTCTCTGATGACCATATTTTATTTTGATTCTATCCTAACAGTATTAATTTTTTGTTCTTCTACAGTACTTTGGAAGTTTGCTTGTCATTTTCTGTGTAGAACTGGCTTGTGGTGTTTGGACATACGAGCAGGAAATTATGGTGAGTTCAAAGTGGGAAGTAGTCACGATCTGGAACAATATCCAGTTCAGCCTTTTGAATCATATACTTTGGAGTTATTTAGGCACATGATTATGACTTTGAAAGTTTTTTGTTTGTTTGTTTGCTTAAGTGAGGCTCAAATTCATGACCACAAGATCAAGACCTGAGCTGAGATCAAAAGTCAGAGACTCAATCCACTGAGCCACCCAGCGCCCCTAATTTGAATGTTTATACTGTAAACATGATCCCAATATTTCTGAAAATTAATATTTTCTTGTCTGTGTCTAACGCATAGTTCCAAATCATAATTTGTAATATTGTATTTGCTGTACTGTATGTCTTTAATTCCACAGGTTGCTTAAACATCGATATAATAGCCTAGAAATAATATATGTCCGAAAATAATTTTGCCAACTTCTGAGTGTATAATAGGAAAGATTCGCATTTACAGCAAGATCTGGGAAAGTTTGAAAATCGACATGTAAGCCTCATAAAATGCCCACCTCAGCTGTACCCTGATGACTAGGAAGCATGAATCTTCTGTTCCCAATAAGCTGAGCCATCTTCCTTTAAGAACTATATTTGAAGAGTTGCTGTGTGTTTACTTCAGCCTAGAAACACTCTGACAGTTTGAGACTAGGCTACATGAAAGCAACTCTTAAGCATTTTTTCTCTTTCATTTTATCAATTGAAATCAACTTTCAGAGCGATGTGAGAATGAACAAGGATAGGGTTTCTCAGTCTTAAGATTTTACCAGTTACTTTGGGTTTATCACTTGCGCTTCACCCTTACTCACACAGGGCATTATTACTTTTTATTTTTTTTTTAAAGATTTTGTTTATTTATTTGACAGAGAGAGACATAGCGAGAGAGGGAACACAAGCAGGGGGAGTGGGAGAAGCAGGCTTCCCGCGGAGCAGTGAGCCCGATATGGGGCTCGATCCCAGGACCCTGGGATCATGACCTGAGCAGAAGGCAGACGCTTAACGACTGAGCCACCCAGGTGCCCCAGGGCATTATTACTTTTTTAATGTTTGCCCGTTTCACTGGTGACAATTGGTGCGTTTATCACCAATGAAGTTGAGCACCTTTTTGTGTCTGTTTGCTGGCTGTTTTCATGGTGGCCAGAGTTTTCCACTCTAAGCATCATAGAGTCATTCTGTTTCGGGAAGATAATGTTTTTCGACAAGTAGTCCTTGGACTGTCTACAGGAGGAATCACCCAAGGCAATTCTTAAAAATGCACGTTAGAGGGCACTGGGCCAGATCTGCTAAATCAGAATAGAGGGAAAGGCAGAGGAAGAAAGGGTAAGGACGGGGCACTCACATTTGCGACAAGTTCCCCAGGTGAACTGTCAACATTTTTTTTAACATGTAGGAGCTCTGAAGAAGAGAGAGGGATTATTTTGTATTTGTTTTAGAGAGACATTTCAGCAGTTGTGTACTAAAAGTGAAGTCCTTTTGGTACCAATACAGTTATTAAAGATTCTGTGGTGAATCCGTTACTGTACTGTGAGACTGTTTTGGATGCTAAGTGGTAATTACAGACTAATGGTACTTTGCATATTCTAATTTGCATGTAAACGATGCTTTGGCGCTGCCACACATCTGAACTCGCCTGAAACATTCATGCTTCCCCTGTCTGACAACTCTTAGTAAGAAGAGAGAATTTGTGATTATTTTTTTCCTATTAAAAATTGAAAAGTCAGGGCAGGTTCTGACTAGTTGAATAAAGTTAAGAACTTTCTTCAAAATGAAATCTCCTGTTAAAATAAGAATGTTCTTGCTGTCTTTGAGAATCATATTTTCACTCCATCCCTAGAAACATCATATATTTTGGGGAGTGAAAGAGTAGTTGGTTCCAGACTCAGTTTCTGGGTTTTATTGATAAAGAAATGGTCGCTTCTAATTTTTTCTGTTTTCAGAAAGTGCATGTATCTCCCTGACATTCAAGCGATAAATAGCTATTACTAATAGCTTTTGATTATGTTCTTTTTGATAATTAAAAGGGTTTTAGAAATGAGTTTTCTTTCTACGGATTTTGAAATGGTTTGTATAGCTTTTATGTCATACTATTATTTGATAAACCTCCTAAGTTATAACAAATATGAAATGATTTAACTAAAGGAAATGTTTTGGTTCTAATATCATCTAATTCTAGAAGATACTTTCTTCTATTCTGTTAGGGAGACATCTGCAAATATCTTCCTGGTGTCATGGTGGTACTAAATGGATACACGCTGCCATCTCAGTTGAGTGCATAGGCCACTGTTTGCTTATGTAAATCTTCCCCATTAAGTTACCAGGATAAAGCAAGGGCTGTTGGGCTGTTTTGAAGTGAAATGTGAAAAATGATCCTTTGGAAAAAAAAGTTTGTCAGAATTTTTTTATTGCTTTTTCACTAATAGCAGTGTGAATGAAAAGTGCCATTAAAGTTTATTAGATACCAAATTTTGCAGAACCCAGCCTTTGCATAGAATGGGCTTTGTACTCTTAGCTGTTCCGTGCAGGAAGCCAATAAGTGTGTGTTTTCCTTTATGGCCAAATCACAGTATTTTGTGCCAGAACCTCAATGATCTCCTCTGTTTCTTGCCATATTTGGTCGCACATCGATTGTGGTTACAAGAGGGAAATAACTTATATTTATTTTGTAAAGTAAAATTTAAAATAAGACTGTTCTAATAACCAAATCAAGAGATTTGACGTTCTGTTTCCCCGTTATTTCTGTCGTTTTGTCACTTCCTATTGATTATTCCTTCTTTAGAACAATTTATCAATAATACTAACTGTTTCAGATTATAAATTTCTAGAGATTTACTTCATTTCCATTTATTTTATACTCAAAGGGATATGAAATAATAACTTATAATGAGTAGCTTGAATTTTGGTTTAGTTCCCTGAACTTTGTTGAAACTGTGTGAACATGAAGTACACCCAGTCAGACCGTTTTTGGGGGAACAAAGTTGTGTGCCCAAGTGTTGGCATGTTTTCTTCTGTATGTAGATTTCCAAGTAATGAAAAAAGAGAATTAACAAAGGAAAACAATGAAGAATTTTTGTGGTCAGGAATTTTTAAACTACTTCCATTGATACTGCTATTTTTAAAATAAGATTGCAAAATAGTCCTAATCTTGAGTTAGTGTCAAGCTTGCTTGGCTAATCCTGGTCTGTATTACTACATACATCAGATATGGATATCTGTCCAGTTTCCCAGTTACGTATTCTAAACATAAGACCACATGTGTGGTGAGACTAGGATGTGTATGCGTCAGGTTCCCCCCGGGGCACCGTAGATAAAACACCGCGTGATGCGCTGACTAGATTTCCAGCCAGCTGTTGTGTTGTGTACCTTAAGCTCTGTCATGATTAAACACTCTGTTAAGGGACATGGTGCTAGGTGACTTGAGACTAGAAGCACAAAAAGTGCTTTAATTTGAGAGGTATTCTTCCTAAATTTCTAGCATGGTTCCAAAATCCAGTATTTGGAAAGATATTTACACACTTATTCCAGAGTGAGGCGTGACTTGAGCTGGATTCTTTCCCTTCTTAATTCTTATCCCCCTGTTTTGGTACTACAATCTGCAGTCACTTCATTTTTTTAAGAAAGATTTTATTTATTTATTTGAGAGAGAGAGAGAAAGGAGAGCACGAGCAGGGAGAGAGGCAGAGCAAGAGGGAGAAGCAGACTTCCCGCTGAGCAGGGAGCCTGACCTGGGGCTCGATCCCAGGACAATCCCAGGACCATCCCAGGACCTCAGGATCATGACCTGAGCCGAAACAGACATTTAACTGACGGAGCCACGCAGGTGCTCTTGCAGTCACTTCAAAGACCGACTCCATAGCATTATTGAAATCAAATCCAAGGGCATTTCTGGGCAGGGATTATTTGTTATGAGGATCTCTTCAGCTGGACCTGTAGGATGTACAGTAAACTGCTTATTTTGTGATTTCCTTCAGCTTGATATTGGCATTAAATGATTTTATTTTTTTTCTTTGCTTAATGTAAAGAACTTCCTCATTTACTGCAAATATCTACACATAGAAATTGTTTCATAAGTAAATAACCTTGAACTTAATTTAGGCCACAAACAAAGATAAATTTAAAATAATATTTGTTAATTGCAATACATTCCAAGTATGCATATGAGTGTGTGAGCGATTACATGTGTGAATATGGGAATATTTGTGTTTCTGAACTGAATGTGTGTGTTTGTATGTCCCAGTTGTTGATATTTTGTTTATCTCTAGGTTCCAGTTCAATGGTCAGACATGGTCACTTTGAAAGCCAGAATGACAAATTATGGCTTACCTAGATACCGGTGGCTTACTCACGCTTGGAATTTTTTCCAGAGAGAGGTAAGTGCTGTAATTTCTGAGGTAGAGGGTATGGAATAAATGGCACACTTTCAAAGCAAATGTTCAAAGCTTTGGCTTTGGTCATTTTCTCTGTGCTGAAAAGTTAAGCCTGTGATTCAGTTAGCACTGGTGTAATTCTTTATTGAGAAATTCCTTAAGCGACTCCATGCCTTGCTTTTCTTCCTGTGTATACCATTTCCCCTTCATTTCACGTGGTTCGCATATATTTTAAGAATTTCTTAGAAGCCATTTTGCTAAACTACTGTGAAATTTCCTTTTTATGAGTGTTTCTTGATAAATATCCAAGTTTTATTTGAATAGATCATTTTTCATGACTTTTAGAGCTGTCTTTATTTTAAACAGTTAATTTTTTTTTTAAATAATGGCTCTTGTTTGGGAATTAAGCATCGGTATATCATTAAAAGCATGAGCTTTCTCGTCAGAAAGATCTTGGTTCAAATTCTGGCTATGCTGCTTATTATTCCATGAGCTTCTGTAATTTACTTAGCTTCAGTCTCAGTCTCCTCATCTGTAAAATAGGGATAATAAAAGTACTTGCCTCCTTGGGTTGTTGAGAAGATTAAATGGGATCATGAGTTGGATCTCATTTAGCTTACAGTTATTGACTATAGCAGGATAAAGCATAGGTGCTTTTAGCTTTTCTTACCTAACTTCCATATAGCCCTGCATCCACTCATCTTCTCAAACACGGACAATATGTAGATTTTTAAAATCTGGTGACTTGAAGTTCACCACTGGTCTTGCTTCAAACCAAGCTCTTCTCCCAAGCAGTTTCCTTGTGATTGGAGATTCCCCAGTGACCAAGTATACCCATTTCCTTTTCTTTCATTTCAAGCTGGGCCACAACAAGGCATGTGAGAGTCGATGTCTTCCAGGATGGATATCCAGCTGTCTGCTCAGTTACTCTGCCTGGGATACGGGCAGAGGTTTCAGTCCAGGATAATCTCCAAATCTGGCTCTTTGTGTTATATGGTTGTTGAGATGGTGAAAATTATCATTGTGGCACAGATTTCCTATTTATTTAAATGCTTCCTGGCTTTGTTTGTTTACTGTTCATTTGTACTAAAAACAACCTGAAGGGAAAATAGGTGAGACATTAGGGAATTTATAGTAAGCTGTGGTCAGCTACTGCCCTGGGTAGAAGCTGCCCAGAGCTCTTTATTTTCTGGGATTTCTGATGTAGACCATGATAATCCAGGTTAAAACAACAAAGCAAGCTTTTCCCCAGTGGTACAAAGAGGGGCTCCATCTAGATAGACAGTGTATAGCATTGCAAATGACAGTACCTATGTTTTTAGCTTTATTGCATGGTAAGTTCCTCCTCCATATCATAGGCCTATTTCACATAAAAGGAGGGGGAAGACCTTTGGGCACCCTGAAAGCGTTTTTTAAAGCTTCTTGTGTTAGTGTGTCAGGGCTGTGGCCAAAATAAATGATCACAGACTGGGTGGCTGAAACAACAAAAATATATCATCTCACAATTTGGGAAACTAGAAGTCTGAGATCAAGGTGTGCAGGGTTGGTTTCTTTGGACGCCTCTCTCCTGGGCTTATAGACAGCAGTCTTCTCCCTGGTTTTCACATCGTCTTCCTTTTATATATGTCTGTGTTCAAATTTCCTCTTTTTATAAGGACATCCATCATATGGGATTAGAACCCACCCTTGTGACCTTGTTTTAATTTAATTAACCTCTGTAAAGATCCTCTCTCCAAATATGGTCACATTCTGGGGGTTAGAATTTCAACATGAATTTTGGGAGGGGGGAAACACAGTTCAACCCATAACACCCGGCTCCCAAAATAAATTGTAGAGCTAAAAGTGACCTCGTCAGGCCCTAGTTGTCCTGAAGACTTCAGTGCAGTTCTGGGCATGTACCTCACTGTACAGGACTCTCACATAAGCCCTAAGGATCTTTCTTTAATATCTTCTTAAAAAACTGATTTTTTAAAAATGTATTTACTTATTTAATTTAACGTAATGGTTGGAGAACAAGCTTTGGAATAAGTAGGCTCTGCCACACACTAGTCTGTGGTCTCCACAGGTTATTTGACCTGTGAAAACCTCACTTCCTTTGCAGGTAAAATGATGGTGGTATTTTCCAGTTTGACACGATGCTAGCAAAAGTGGCTTTATCTCATAATGTGATTTTAAAGGAGGTGGGAAAACTGCAAGGAGATGTAGACCACAGTTGTGTGTGACGTAATGGTGGGTTCATGTAGGGGAGTTTTAGGGAAAATTTCTCTACCAATCTAGTATCTTCTGTTGACAAAGAAAAACAATTATGTAAAAAGAAAAAATATCTCAGTGACTTATTAAAATTAAAAAAATATATATCTGGCACTGAACATCGTATGCTTAAGTTATTTGGAAAAGTCATTTCTGTGGAGAACCTCATTTCCTGACAAGGCCAGATAAATGGGCTGTTCTATTGTGGATGGAGTTTGAGTTCCAAGAACTGTACTTTTGTCATCAACATAGAAAAACACATGTCCTTAAGGAAATGAGAGAAGTTGGACTTAAAAAGCCTGATTTGGAAATGTAGTAGTTTATGATTTTTGGAAAGTGAAGTCTTTTTGACTACATATGTTTTTTTATGGATATTCAATGACTTATATAAAATGCATATTTTATGTAAAATGTCAAATTATGTTTGAATTAATGTGTGATGTTTATGGCATATCTGTAACTTTTAGAACAAGTTTATAAAAGGAAAATACTAAAAATATAAAAAATGTTTCTCCAAAAGTTTTAGTATTACTCATAACATCAGTAATTCATCATTTATAATACTCTTAAGATGGTTTTTTCTTTTTAAAAGTTAGATATTTAGGCAAATGAAAAATGTAAAATCATTTTTAGTGTTTTCTGTGTTTCATTTTACACGAGAAGTTCAGAATTCTCCATAGTTGATTTTAGTTGGATTTTGAAATGGTGGACTGTGATATTTTATGATACGGTGTTAATCCTGGACCCAGATTTGTCTGTTGGGCTACATAATTTGTAGAGCCAATCACTCTTGGCAAAGTTCTTCTCAGTGATTGTGCAGAGTTCTTGTTTTTAACTATATGGAAGAGTAACTCCCTCTACCCAAGGGCAGAAAATTATCATAATTAATTATTCTAATCTAATCTACATATGTCCTTAAGCAGTGTTTCTAAACTTTGACCAGAGAAAGTTTTTGCTAAAACTTGGTGAAATGAGACAAAAAAGAACAAAACACAGCATAGTTTTTCTTAAATCCAATTTTATTCAAGCTAAAGACACATCATTTCTTCTGAGATTATGGTGACAGAATATGATACTTTATTTCGAGACTCTCATTCAGTTAAATAAACATGTGTTGGCCAAACCTGTGTTTATATCTCAAAAATTTTTTGAAAATTTACTGGTTAATGAATTCAAGTTGGGTAATTTTTGTGATGTGTGCTTTTGGTCAACAAGTCTTTCTCCAGAGATTATGAAAACTTTTAATTTATTTTTGAATTTGTTAAGCAGTTAAATTGGTAAATAGGTGATATACAAATAAATTGATCAACTAATCTTTCGTGGCAAGAGGTTTAATGATAATTATAATAGTCCAGCTAATTGTTTTGTTACTGTGCATATTGACTCTGTTGCTATTTGATCACTTGTAGAGGATTGTACAGTTGGGGAAAGACTCAGTCATGCCTCATCTGATTTCTGGGGTTATGAGCATTATTGTTCAGAACTGTTCCATTATGGAGTCCTTCACTACATTTCTGTCGTCAATATAGAATGTACACATATCTTTAGGTGATGACAGAAGTGAGTTTAACTCTGGGTACAAAAATTTAAGAAATCTAACGTTTAATCTTCTATAAGTTAAGAAAATATTTGTGTAGTTTCTGAGCCTGACCAGTCATTCTTTTGCAGTTTAAGTGCTGTGGAGTGGTGTACTTCACTGACTGGCTGGAAATGACAGAGATGGACTGGCCCCCGGATTCCTGTTGTGTTAGGGAGTTCCCAGGATGTTCCAAACAGGCCCACCAGGAAGATCTCAGTGACCTTTATCAAGAGGTAAGGCCATATGTTGTTAACTTACCATGCATACGAATTTTCTTATAATGACTTTTAAGTAAAGAATCAACAACATGGCAATGAAATTTTCCCCTTCTAAATATAAAGGCCCTTAAAAATTTTTCTCTGGTATGTGGAGAAACAGGATAAAGCTAAAAATCAATATAAAAATCTGAACCTTATCACATGTTAACAAAGGAAATTGGGAAAGACTAGGTTTAGAATCAACTGATTTTTAAACTGTATTGTGTAGAACCAATTTCTATTGCCTCCTAGGGATCCTTTGAAAACAGGTCCATGCAGGGTGTCTAAAGAACTCTGGATATTCGGGAAGACAAGGTTTGGAGTTCCCGGACAGGATATGTATTTTAGGGCCTCCACACAGACTAAAACGTATGTAGGAAAAAATAAATAAATAAATCCCACTCTCCAGGGAAAATGCTGTCCTCTACTCTTCAGTTCCCCCTACTGGCAAATGATCAGCGATGTTAGTTTTAGTTGGCAGATTTAATGGAGTTAGATGCTCACTGGGTTTAAAATCAATCATCACATGCCCAAGAAAGTTGCATGGCTGTGTTTTCTGGGAGAATTTATCTGAATCATCAGTTATTCCTTTATTATCAGAAGTTTTCCTATTCCTTCATTTTTAATGGTGATTTTCAAACTTTGTTAGCAGCAGAATCTTAATTCAAATTAAAATCTAGAACTACACCATCCAGTACAGTGGCCAATAGCTACATGTGGCTATTTATTTATTTATTTATTTTTTAATTTTTTTTATTGTTATGTTAACCACCATACATTACATCATTAGTTTTTGATGCAGTGTTCCATGATTCATTGTTTGTGCATATACATGTGGCTATTTAAACTAAAATTAAATTAAAATGTCATTTCCTTAGTTGAAATAGCTACATTTCAAATGCTTAAAGGCCACTTGAGACTAGCAGCTTCTGTATTAGACAATGCAGATATAAGACATTTCCACATTACAGAAAATTTTATTGCAGTCTTGATCTAGAATGGAAGATCAAAATGTAAACCAAATGGAAGGGAAGGTGCTCAGGCCAAGGGGCTGGGATCATTTCCCAGGAACATCTCCATTCGAACATCTGGGTATCAGAAGGCACTATTGAGAACCTCTGGCTTACCATAAAGTTAACTCACACTATTCAGAATATATCATCCATACATGCACGTACACACACACACACACACACACACACGTGTATATAATATAGCTATAAAGAGTGAAACTTTAAAACAGAATGTCATGATTTATAAAACATGCCTTTTTATATATATTTCAAGATGGTTACCTTAGGAGGTTATACATTTTTCCCTAGAAATACTATTATTATTCAAAACATCTTTTAGGCTCCCAAAGTCAGTTGTAGAGATGCACAAAAATCAGTTTCATTAATTTATGGTGTAAATTATTTGAAAAAGATGGTGGATTATGTACACAAATGATCCATCATCTTTATATCTTAGATATGTGTAGCTTTTGGCTGTTAAAAAATTCATCTCAGGGCGCCTGGGTGGCCTAGTTGGTTAAGCGACTGCCTTCGGCTCAGGTCATGATCCTGGAGTCCCGGGATCGAGTCCCGCATCGGACTCCCTGCTCAGCGGGGAGTCTGCTTCTCCCTCTGACCCTCTTCCCTGTTGTGCTCTCTCTCATTCTCTCTCTCTCAAATAAATAAATAAAATCTTTAAAAAAAAATTCATCTCAGAGGACAAGACTATGTCACATTAAGCATATCCAAAATAAAGTGCTTTGGGCTCTGAAGACATGCCACAGAGAAGTGTGCCAAATATTTTTTAAGAGATTCAGAATTGTGTTAGTTTCCTAGGGCGGCTGTAACAAAGTACCACAAAGTGAGTGACTTAAACAGCAGATATTTATTGTTTCATGGTTCTGAAGGCTAGAAGGCTTGAGATCAAGGTGTCAACAGGCTTGGTTCCTTCTGAGGGGGTGAGGAAGAATCTGTTCTGTGCCCATCTTTCAGCTTCTGGTGGTTTGATGGCAATCTTTGGTGTTCCTTGGTTGTAGAAGCTTCACCCCAATCTCTGCCTTCACCTTCACATGGAATTCTTCCCTGTTTGTATATATCTCCAGATTTCACCTTGTTCAAAAGGACACCAGTCATATTGCTTTAGGGACCCACCCTTCTTCAGTACGATTTCATCTTAACTAATTATATCTGCAATGAGTCTATTTCCAAATAAGATCCCATTCTGAGGTTCTGGGGATTAGGACCTCAACATACGCATTTGGAGGGAACACAACTCATAACAAAAATTGTTGAAACAACTGAATTACTAGGGTTGTTTATTTGAAAAGATATCAAAGAATTATTGGGTCAGTGTCTGAGTTCTCCGTGATTATGCTACATCTTTTTTTCTGGGTGAAAGTCTGAAATAAGGATGGTCAACTAACAAGTTCAACAGTTAAAGCCCTGTTCATTCCATAAAACAGAAAACAGTGTTTAATATTTCCAAGATATTATTAAATGCAAACATAATTGTGGATATCCAAATACATTATAACTCACTACTAGGTTTTAAAGACACAAATGATTACAGTATAGATGTAAGTATAGAGGTGAATTGAAACCTATCCAACTTTCCTAGTGTGAACTTTTGTTAGTTTTTAGGAGTGGCAAGTCAATATGGCAAATCATTGGGCTACACCACCATATATAATAATCTCTACCTTCTTTAGTGATTAATACTGATAATATAATTATAACCAACATTGATCATAAGAATGTCAAAACATGAATCAGTTTACCAGATCTTCCCATAAAGTCTGAATATGGACCGTCACTTCAACTGTACTTTGTTTAGTTGAAACGCATTCAATTAAACATTTGATAAAATTTTCTTGCTGTAAAAATGCAATTCATTTTACTGGTTTGTCTTAGATTATTTCCACTAGTAGTATTTATCATGGAATGCTTTACTTTCAGGCTGTCTATAATTGCTTATTCCATGAATTTTGACATTGAAAGAAGCCACATGATCGTGCATGTGCAAATTGAGGAACCAGATTATTTGAAAGGCTTTTTCATATTTTCATCAAAACACTTTCAGTAGCAAGCTGGCCTTGTCAGTTACGAGATGTTCTTTAGACAAACTTCCCACAGAGATGGAGGTTCATTATATCAGAGTAAATCTGCTTTTACATTTTATAATTAATAACAGATGCTGGTATTGGTAATGATATAGTGCATAATTATATGCATAGTTGACTTACAAAAGTGGATCACTTAGTAGCTTTATGGCACAAGTACAATTAAATCCATCATTAAAAATAAGACTTAATTCCACTTTGCCCTGGAGAACATATGTTTCCTAATTGAAGAGTGCCCAGAGACCATCCACCTGGAAGATGAGGGGTCTATCAGGGAGGAACAAGTGAGGGATAGCTGGAGGTATTTACGTTGCTTATTCCAAGGTAGCAGATACCAGGGGGAGATATTTTAGATGTCTTCAAATATTTCAAAGTTCATCATTCAGAACAGGAACTAGACTTACTCATTGTTGCTCCAAGGGCCAGACATTACAGGAAGGAAATTTTGAATCAATAGAAGGAAGACCTTGCTCACCAAAATCCGTCCAATTGTGACACAGGTTCTCTTGTAAAATAATGAGTGTCTCATCACTAAAAATATTAAAGTCAAGGTCAGATAACCATGTCGTTGGGGGGTAGGATGGGTTTTTGAATTAAGAGTGGATCTGGACTCGATGAACTTCAAGGTCCCTTTTATCTTTCGTATTCTGTAAGCTCAGAGATAAGAACTGGCTTTCTTCCTGCAATCTTTCTTCAGTAGTCTGAAATCAAGGAAATAAATCATTTGCAACCATCTGGTGGCCTGCATGGTCCCTGACCCAATAATATTTTATGACACATTTGGAACCTATGAAAAATGACAGAGCAGAAATATAGCGACAATCACACATTTTAGAAACATTCCCATCAGAGGTATTGTTGGATTTGGTACGCAGGTCCTCCAATACCTGTATGTAATGAGCTACACACTTGTATAAAAGTGTAGATGTAAAAATCGCAGATGAAAATATTTCTGATCATCAATTTGGTTCCATCACATTCATTAAGTCAGAATGTTTTTTGAGTGCCTCCTGGGCTCCAGGTGCTATTGTAAATGCTGAGGATATAGCAGAGAATGTTGCAGACCAAAATTCCTCCTGTATAACTTAGATTCTAGTTAGGATGATAGACATTTAGCAAGATAAACACAGCAATAAAAAATAATTTCAGGCAGTGGTAAAAGCATTTTGAAGACTCTAAGTAGGGTCATATGCTGGAGAATGGCTTTATTGGCAAGGGAGCTACTTAGGATGGTTAGGAACCCTCTCTTTTAAGAAGTGACATTTGAACTGAGAGCAATAGATGAGAAGGATGCAGCCGTTCAAAGATCCACTGAAGAATTTTTTTTTTTTCTACCCTAAGAAACTACAAATGCAAAAGCCCACCCAGGGCTAGCCTAGGCCAGTGATTACTGACTGCTGACTACCTTGTTCTTTGGGATTGTTTGTGCAACCACACTCTCTATATACTAGGTGTGAGACCTGGCCTCAGCAAAACACCTTCTCCAAGTTGAAGTTGGTAGAATACAGGCACTGGGATGTATCTTTTCCTTCTCTCACCTGCTGAGTTTTCTACCATATCGTTACTAAAGTTCTCTGTCTAGACCTGATCTGGAGGAAAAAACAAAACAAAAACCAGAGAGAAAAATAAAGAAGGCTAGCAGAGAAAAAGACTTTGCAGAGAGGGACTCCCAATCTCTTGCCCGTGGACCTAAGCTCTTGCTGGACAGGCTTCAAGGGAAAGGTGATACTGCTGAAATTGTTTTCAATATTTTATGTGCATTTTTTTCCGTGACTAGGATCCATAGTTTTCATCAACTTTTCTTGGGGTTTCATACCTAAAAGTGTGAAGAACCACAGTTGTAGAGATAGTTGCAGTGTCTGCT